TTTTTTTTCTTTTTACTTTTGCTTAGCGCCTGCTTGAAGAACTGTACTCAAAAAAGGCAGTTAAGCACATACATACATACCTAATAACATATATGCATACATATGTATGTAATGTAGTGTATTTCGGTGATGTGCTATCGAAATTGATGGGTGTTTCTTACGCCAACATATGAAAGTTCTAAATTCTTCTGTGCATATATACATATGAGTATATAAGTCAGACAAATAAATTGACAGCTGACCTCAATTACCCTGTACTTCGTACTTTTAGTTATTTAAAGCACAGCAAGCAGTTGATGCTGAAAATCAAGCTGGCTGTGATGTTAATACTGGGGGGGTGAGGTGTTGGTGTTATGGATGCCGTTGCTGTTCTTCAATGTGCCCTTCGAACATTCGCTAGCAACTATGAATCAACGCTATTTACGAGCAATCAATTTGTCAGTTGCAGTGAGCTTTAAGGAATTTCAAATATTTATTGTAACTGAGCCATAAAATTCCGCCAATGAAAGTTGTGGCGCAATATATGTATGCGCTATATTACTACTGAGATTTCATATGTATGGACATATATACATCTAAGCCTAATGAAGAGCCTAAATTGGTATGCACCAGAACTGAAGTGAATTCTCTTATAAGCAACTCAGCTAAATGATTAGCTACGTCTACCGGGAGAATTGATATTATGCATTTAAACTTTCTTTACGCCCGTATCTTAGAACATAGTAGATTAGAAACTTTGTAATTTACTAAACCCTTATCATCTGTAAATTTCTTAATATCTATAAATACAGCACAATTCATGAACACATATTTACTCTTGTGTGGCGACTTGCATATAGTTTTACGTTAGGAAAATGACCGTGCTGTATTAAATGTTAAAAAAAAGCTTCCAATTCGTTTTGGACCCCATTCTAAGCCCAGCAATTAAAATCACTCGCTTGACAAAAAGATGTTATTTTCGAACAAAACGTAATACTAGTCTTCCTCCAAAAGTTCTGTGGATTAATTTAAAACAGCTCGGAATGAAATCTGAATGTACGATCGATATTGAAGTAATAGGGATTACTTTGCAATTTTGAGGGGAAGGTTGGTTTTGCGCCAACGTAAATATTTCATGTGATTTTATCAAATCATATGCTGTCGAACAGGACAAAATAAGTTTAAGATTTATTAAGCTCGTTCTTCCTTACCCTTATCACCCTTAACGCATATTATAAATTTTTCGCTACTACTTGGCGAGAAAAGTGGCTAATAGTATACCTGCTGCGAAAAGACGTAATTACTCACAACCCTGTGACTTTGGGCCAATGAGCCATCTACCGTCTTTATAAAAGATTTTCGAAAAACTAGCGAAAACGCTCATTGCACGAGAAATAATGAAGCGATTTAAAAAAAAAAATTGTGGCGTTTCATAGATAAAATTCCGAACCTATCGACAAATTCATTTTCGTAAGTAACCAATTCGGTTTCTTTCGTAAAAACAACGGTAAATATTGACTTACTTTGGGGCCAATTTTGAGCCTTTAAAGTGCTCTAGCAACTTCTGGTTTGCAGATAAAACTTTCATTTTAAAGATATAAACTCTTTGAAGCAATAGAAATATTATCGTTTCATATAAACTCGACAAATATTGAGCATTTTAATCAAAAAAAACTTTGAAAAAATTTGCAAATTTTTTTTATTACTAAAATTTCCGAAAAGCACTCGCGTGATTTTGTTTTTGTTTTCTTTAATGAAAAATTTAAGGTTTTTCCTTTCTTTTGGTATTTGGAAAATATTGGTTGATATTTTCTAAGTAGTACATTTATTTGATTTAAATATATAGGCATAAATGATTTTCCATACAAAATCACTTCGGCATCATTTTGCAAATACATGCTTGCGCTGGAAGTATGAGAAGGAGAGAAAAAGTATGTGTGTGTTTCTCTTTTAGCACTCTATGTATATACATATGTACCTACATATTAGATATGTACATATATGAACACATGTATGCATAATATGCGAAAACTTTTTGAAGTGAAACTTCTTTAGCGCTTCTTGAGTCTATGCACATGGTATTAGTTAAACAAAACCTTGCTAATAAAAGGTTAAAGAATAACACTTAGAAAAAAAAACAATACAACAATGAAAGTAAAGGTATATATAGATAAAGGTGTATATTAGACCGTTCGTTATTTTAACTATTTTTTTAAATATACAGTTTGCCGGGCTCAAAAAGATGTCTTTTGGTCTAAAAATAAGCTGTGCAAAATTTTATTCGAATATGATAACTCTAAGTACTTGCGCGTTGCATTTGAAAATTTAGAAAACCATATGCATTCTGGGAAAAAAATTTTTAACAAAATAGTTGAAAGTCGCGAATTTTATAGTCATTTGCCATGTAAAATAACCTACATAATCTGAATATGAGGTCAAAAATTAAAAAAGTAGAATAGGTTTTAAGAATTTGCGAAATTATCGTTTTTTTCAAATTGAGAAAACAGCATTTTCAATTTTTTCCAAAAATATCCGGGTATGATTATCACACCACAAAAAGATCTCCACCAGATTAAAGGTCTTTGAAATCCCTAAGAAACTGCTATACAATGTTTTGCAATCAAATTGTCAGTTTAAGAGTTATCTGCCAATTTATTAGTGAAATCGGACTCAATTTTAAGTCGCATCGTTATTCTACTGTGAATTACACCTAAAAGCTGCAAACTTTTTGTTCTTATTTGTATGCTATGTTAAAGCTTATTTGATTTCAAAGTATATAGATCCAAATTTTTTGCAAATCGATTTGAAAATAGAAAAGTTATAGCTAATTTAGTAAATGACATTGGATTCAAGCAACGTATCGATACTGTACAGCACATTTGATTGTAAAATAAATTAAAATATCATTTCCAGTGGCATGTTATGCACATCGCAATTAGAAGAACAGCTGACAATAGGTTTGTTTCATTAAGCAATAGTTTTAAATATTTTTTAACAATTGTTACAAATTATCATGCTTTGGCTAGCAAAAAATTTGATAAATTGAGATAGCAAAATAACATTTGATTTTTAGATAAAATTTGGAAGTTTCTGCGGGATACATTTATATTTGTAAAACTGAAACAATGGTACTTATTGAATGTATTATGTATTTATATTATGATCCTTATTTTCAAGTAATACTACGCTCAAAAGAATGTCTAATAACCGTTTGTTTATTAAGCAATAGTTTGTAATAGTTTGGAACAATTGTTACGAATTATCACGGCTTGGCGGTTTAATACGAAAAAACTGCAAACAAATTTATAAAAAAGGGATAAATTTAGAGAGAAAAATAACAGATAAAGTTTCTACAGGATAAAGAATACAATTTTTCAGGAAGAAATATACATATATATCTGTGGGCATTTTAAAGAACAACTTAATCCTATAGTTTACGGACAAACAAAATAGCAAATGTCGAATGTTTTCTTTTAAATAAAATATACTATACTGACGGTAAAAAAAGCTTTGTCATATGATGTGGAACAATAAAAATATTATTTTGGTTACCCCGTCTCAATGGTTGCTACTCCACAAATTTAATGGGAATAATTGTAGTAGAAGCTCATCTTTGGTAAGTTCAGTTAGAAATCCATTCAAAAGTTTTGAAAAATATATGTTTTTTCCTATTTTGTTATTTTGTTATTTGCAGTGGGAAGACATAAAGCATTTTTGTACGTACGAGCTTCAGAAAGTCCAGATTCGCGGGGATTACAAGGAGCTGCTTCAGCTAGCATTTGCTTTTCTAGGTGGTACAAGTGGTTATTTTCGAACATGCGGTCCAACATCCCATGCGCGGTTTATGTCGAAAGCTATTTATTGCCTGAAAATATTTCTTTTTCGAGAACAGTTCAAACTGACGCCAAGAGAATTTAGTAGTTTACGAGATATTTGCATTTTCCTCATTCGCCTTTATATGAAAGCTTGGTACCAGTGCACAAATCCCATTAGGGCTCCAATGCAAGATTTAAAATTTTTACAAAATGCAATTGAGTACGCCCAAACTGATGCAGTGGTATCCAATGCGGTTTTGAAAAAGTTCAAGTCATTTATGGTACTTAATGCCGGAGACAACAGCTTTAGCGTTTTTTGATAATGATGTGCCAGTGGAGGAAAAACGAGAAATGGTGAAGGCACTGCAAGCAGTCGTATTACTTGAAAATAAGGATCATAATAAAATACATAATACATTCAATAAGTACCATTGTTTCAGTTTTACAAATATAAATGTATCCCGCAGAAACTTCCAAATTTTATCTAAAAATCAAATGTTATTTTGCTATCTCAATTTATCTTATTTTATCAAATTTTTTGCTAGCCAAAGCATGATAATTTGTAACAATTGTTAAAAAATATTTAAAACTATTGCTTAATGAAACAAACCTATTGTCAGCTGTTTTTCTAATTGCGATGTGCATAACATGCCACTGGAAATGACATTTTAATTTATTTTACAATCAAATGTGCTGTACAGTATCGATACGTTGCTTGAATCCAATGTCATTTGCTAAATTAGCTATAACTTTTCTATTTTCAAATCGATTTGCAAAAAATTTGGATCCATATACTTTGAAATCAAATAAGCTTTAACATAGCATACAAATAAGAACAAAAAGTTTGCAGCTTTTAGGTGTAATTCACAGTAGAATAACGATGCGACTTAAAATTGAGTCCGATTTCACTAATAAATTGGCAGATAACTCTTAAACTGACAATTTGATTGCAAAACATTGTATAGCAGGTTCGTAGGGATTTCA